AAAAGGTAGGACTAGCACCAATGTACAGACTGTTCTGTGAAATCATGTTTCTGAGCTTAAGGAAACTCACTGGGATCTGGGTCACTGGGTTAGAAAGAACTGTGTGAGCAAAAGAAAGATTATTGTCTTTCTAATTTAGTATTCAAGACAAATAGTGGAACTTGATTTTAACAAAATGTTTCTGACATTATATAACATGGAGTTATGTGCAGTGCAGCTAAAAACAAGTTGATAAAACTCTGAACAAAATAAAGAGTAATGTAAATCTGTCCTCTATGCCCCACTTCTTCTCCCTACGTACCCACACAGTGGGAATTCTGCAAGGACATAATATACAAAATGTATGTATCTAAGCTTTACAAAAGCACCACACAGAAACATTACTTAAAAATAAAATGTACAAGTGAAATTTGCTTATAATCTCCTTTATGTTTGTTATTAAAAAATTAAAAAAGGAAAAGCTGAAGACTTAAAAAAAGTAATGTAATGACATCTTAGAGAAAAATCAGCTTACTTTAGAAGTCTCAAAGAACTTTAAAATATATAGCTAAAAGTCCAGAAATATTTTATGGTTCACCACCTAACATAAAACAACAACACAGAAGGACAACAGCAAACAAACTCTGCTGCCTTACCAACCAAATCTGTTCATATAAAATAAACCCATGCCATGAATGCTCCACTGGATTAACAGACCTGACAATCAACAGGTTCCCTCTTCTAGACAAGAAGCCATTGTAGCACCAAGCTCGGAGATTAACACTGTCATCAGAAACTTAAGATGGCATAACAGCAACATTACATGTATGTTTGAAATAGGTTGGAATGGAAATTTATTCCAAATGAGTCGTATTGGGTATTCCCAGCACTGCATGGAAGGCTTTGACTTTTATTACCTTGTATTTGGATTATGTTTTATTTTGCAAGACCGTATGATCTCACAGTGAATGATTACAAGCATTTAAAATGTTAAGGATGATGTGATATTTAACTCATCGTGCAGTTGAGGAATATGATCCATATTTTGCCAGTGAAGGGACTGAGATACAGACTTGTTAAGGAGTTTGACCTAGAAAATTATATCAGAAATGAGTATTGAACAACTCTCTCAGGTTCCATAGTTATGCCTTAGCCAAATGCCTTTCCCCTACTGGGTGTTCAGACCACAGACTGGCTGTGTCACAGTACTGTTTTGTCCAGAGCTTCACCCTAAATATATGTAAAATTAGAGGTTAAATTCTCACCTTTTGAGTCTGCAGAGAGAATTTTGGAAAGCATTTTGCCTCAACATTCCTTTCACTGATATTTAAACATTTTTTTCTTTCCATAGAATGGAAGACAATCCTACTTTAATATACGTTGCTACATAGGAGAAAAGCAATGAGAATTTCTCTTTCTCTCTGCATAAAACCAACTCTGCTTGGTTATTCAGACGCAACTGCCACATACTTACAGGCTTAAATAAAACTACTGATGTAATTCCAAGAAACTGGTAGAATTATTTTAACGTTACCTGCATGGACGTGAAAATCAGACACATGGGTAGTTCTGCTCACCACAGGTGAAAGGCTGCAGATCCCAAATGTTTTAAAGCTCACTGAGATTAGTGAAATATAACTTACAACGATTTCAGCTGTCACCAGATCAAGACTGTTGCCAACAGGCTAAAACTGAAGGTTATTTGACTTCTGCAAAGCTGCAGGGGCACTTAATCACTAATGATCTGGTCCACCTTGGACAGCTGGGGAATTTGCAGTAGCCCTCACCAGGGCCAGCATTTTGTATCCGATTTCTGTGTCCTTTGGTAAGGTCCCCAAAACCTTACATATTTTGATATAAAACCAATCCCTTCTCCATCATCTGACTTCTGAATCAGCCCCTAAAAGAACACTATTGGCACGAGGTACTGTAGGCAGAATAAGCTCCATTCTCTGCCATGTGCCCCATGTGTTATTTTAAAAAATGACTGATTGCTGCATGATTGTTCTGCTTTTCCCCGTAGCTCTGGGGCTGACTATATTTCTTCGGGTGTGTTAAGGTACGATGCCAGACTAAAATCTGCCTTAAACAAACTCCCAATAGCTCTGATATCACTTTTAATTTATATTATAATTTCTAAATTCTAGTTGCTCCCTGGTGATTTTTTTTTTTTCCACAAACGCATCTGGAGCTGAGAAGCAGTTTTGTGCAGGAAGCAACCATGTGTATGAAATGACACCCTTCTGTGTCTCTTGCTTCTCAGTGCAACCTGACCTCTTTCACCGGAGTGGCCCATTGAGTCCCACAGCTCCTGGGCAGTTCTTAACTGTTTTACCTAAAGCAAAAAATTCCTGGGAGTGTCCACAAATCTGAACCGGCATCTGCTCTTTTCCTGTTGTTTCTTCTTTGAAATATAAACAGAATGTTAATTATCTTGCCCTGATTTCATCCTGCTGCTCAGTTTGTTTCCTTTTAACTTCTGAATCTATTACCACCTGCCAATTTGTCTAATCCTCTATTCTGGCAGATGTAAGGTTTTAGCTGAGATTCCTGCAATGATCCCGAAGGAAAATGAGCCATATTCCACTAGGTCAACAAGACTCAGAAAGCCAAATCTGTTACAAATGTTATTTCATAATTTGCAAAAATTGGAATCTACACACAGAAACTTATAAGTTTGTTCATGGATGCATTCTGAGGAGCTTGACGATGATCACTCACACGCAATAAAATAAGTCACAAGCTTGAAGATTTGTGCGTCCTAAACCTTCAAACCCTTTTGCCCTTTTCATTTTTGTCATGTTTTATTTTTAATTAAATAATAAAATAAAACTTTAAATAATCTGGAAAGTCCTCCTTAGTTCTCAGCACACACAGGAGGAAAAAGCTGAATCAGCATTTTCACACGTGCTTAACTCCATAATTGTGTGCTGTGCTAAATTAGAGAGCTGTGCACAGGTTTCATATTACAAGGACTACTTTAATTTTATACAGAAAAAAAAAAAAAGGAATATTTTACACTATATTTTAATAAATAATTAATATTAAACTGCATCTATTAAATAAAGGTTCAAACTTGCACAGTGCCGTAAGCTCCCACTGGATGGTGTTTATCGACTTGCAAAATCAGGATCTGGTACAATGGTATTTGGAGTGCACTTCTGTTTCATACTGTGCCAGTTCAATATTGCTAACTACAGGTGTTTAAAAAGCATTAAGTGGTCCATCAAATATCAAAAGATTAGCTTTGTGCTTGCCAGATCTCTAAAAAATAAATAAATAAATTTGAGGCTCTGCTCATTTGCCTTCTGGTTTTTGATACTCTAGGGTTCAGCTGGCTCATGTTTTCATGTTTTATCTCTAACCATAAAGGTGAGAACTCTTTTTTGTTGGAAGCTGAAGTTTGCATCTCCTCACTAGCCTGCAGGAGCAGACTTTAAGAAAACATCAAATATCATTAACACTCATGGGAAAATCATGAAAATGGGCCATGCTGGTTGATAACTTACTAATTTACAAATTTTTGTAATAGACATTGGTGCTTTGAACTACTGATGTGAATTAGCCAGGTTCTACTGCTTACTTAATAGTCTGTGTTCCTTGTGGCATTGAAATTCCTGTGGCTCAGAAACTTACTCTACAACTGAACACGGTGTTGTTTGCCATGTGAACCTGGAACAGATTTCCTGGTAGAACAGCGGGGTTTTTACATTTTATGCTGAAATAGAAACAGTATGTTAAGACTAAATTGAGTATCTTTGGACTAGTTGCTCCAATTGTTTTAATAATGGAACTGTGTGTTCCCCCTCCTTTTTCAGTTCTTCTCCTCCAACAAGAAGGTCCAATTTCATGCCATGGATTTTAATTTTTTGTTATTTGATGGATGAGACACAGTCATAGGTGTTTTGTGAGCCATTTTTAAGATGGAACTGTAAACTCCTGACCATTTACATCTTTTGGTTTGTCTAATACAGGAGCTACTGAAATGAGAGACGCAGAGTGGATTTATTGGAGGAATGAAAAACTGAGTAGAAAAGTACTAATATACACTCAGGCTCTACTGCTGATATATCCCAGCATTGTTCCAGTAATGAACTTCTCCAAAGCATTAACAGTTCAATTTGAAGGCTTGTTCCCCTGTCATTCTTGCACCTGGCTAGATTAATTGCCTCAAGAGTTGAAAAAAAAGAAAGAATTAATATCTAAAACTTTTGGACCCATTTTTTACCCTGTTTATTGTGAGAAGAATAACAGAGTTCTTTTCTTTCATAAGCTAATTTAGTGCTTTAATTGGCTGTTGGGTGATGTAGAAAATATAAAATCTCATTCTATAGCTCATACCTTACAACAACTGGATCCATCAGTTCAAACGAGACTGTCGTGGTAAGAGCAAAACAAAATTTACTGAAAATTAAGGGAAAGACTTCTTTCTCATTATCTTCTGAAAATCTCCTGTGCTGGTAAGTAGGTAGAGTAAGCAGAGAAGAACTACACATAAACCCATCTAATTTAAACGGGGTGTTTTTATAACTTGAACTACTAATAACAAAAAGCATTTCAAATTATGAGTTAATTAAATGTCTAGATATTCTCTTTACTGTTGCGTTAATTTTTACTTTATTTTAGTATTAACAAACTGCCATGCTTAAAATTACTACTGAAGTACTGGCTCAGTATTTGTACTGCGACAGTGCTCTGTGAAGCAGTCTCAACATATATATTCCTGTATAGGTTTTGCATGTTTCTCACAAACTGTAATTTGTATTAACAGTTGAACAAGCAGAAAGCTATTCACCCACTTAATAATATGCAAATGTTTAATATTCTAAATATTAAGTGCTCTAGGTATCAGGGACTGAAAACACTGGTATATTCATTCATTCAGAATTGTTTTACTTCAGCGTCAACTGAGGAATGAATAACCTTTCATTTAGTTCACCTAAAAACCTCTTCTGCACTCCCTGGCTCTGCAGCCAGCTGTCTTTAGCAGAATGTGCCATGGTCCATCACTGAATTCCCATTTTAATCACATTTTCATTTCTGTGAACATCCATGACTTTAGTTGTGTATTTCACACTATCCATGCTAACCTGACTGTTAGTAATTTTATATAGGTACTGTATGAGTGAGGTTTATGCTTCCTTACACTATTATAAACTCTGATTTTGTTTTTTATAAGAAAGTAGGATACTTTTAGGGCCCTTATGCTTGCATGAAGTCAGCAGAAGTTTGAAATGGGCAGAATGCAGGTTTGGGCTTTTGCTTTAGTAAATGTTAATTACGCAGGTATTTCCTGCACAAGGAATAGAAACACAGAGCTGTGTTTTGAGAGTCAGTATTTTAAGATTTTTTTCACCATGTTTTTTTGCTTTCTTAATCAAAAAGGGTGTTTCTTTCTCAAAGTTCACTTACTGCTTTGGTTTTTTACCCCCCAAAAGTACATCCCCAAGATTTTGATTTTCAATCTGGAATCCTACTGCATTTAGAATTTCACTGAACTTTTGTGAACTGTCCTGGCCAAGGAAGGCCTGCAAAACTGGGCACTTTTAAGTGCAGAAGTATTTTTAGTTGCAAATATTAAAAAAATGCACTCACAGCTGTTCACACAGCAGTGATTGGAGTGGTTGGCGTACTGGAGAATGCTGATACCTTGATATGTTTTATGAGTGTACTGTAGCTGTGCTTCAGGCAGAAATTCTTCAGAAGAATGAAGAAAAAGAACACCAAGTGGAACTGTTCATAAATTTAAAAAAAAAAAAAAAAAAAAAAAAAAAAAAAAGGAGTTACTTTTTTTTTATTCCAGAAGGGGCAGAAATAATACTCATGTTCATATACATATATGCAGCAATGGAAATGTATTTTCATTTGAGTACACACTCCAATTCTGCTTTTATTACAATTATCTCAAGTAAATGTCATAAGAATTATATAGCATATTCTTTTAGAACTGATTTCATGTCATTTTTTCATACTGCTCATGAATAGCAAGCTCTCAATTGCACACATTGAAAAAAAATGAGTGTAGGAACACAGGCAAAACAAGATTTTCCAGGGGGCACAGAGAATGTAACTTGCATATCTACAGCCTCCATGGCCTCCTTCACTCTTCATCTGCCCCATCTGAAAGGAGCACTGGCATTTCTGCATAAATGTGTTCTACAAAACCCACCCAACCCCAACAGCAACCTCGTTCTGCACCTCATTATTGGCCCACCAAGCCCAGCAGCCCTTCTGCTTGTAAAAGCCAGTATTGACTACAGGGTTTTGAAGCCAAGCAATTGATTTCAGCCTGTGAAGACCTCATGAGCTGAAGCTGGCAGTCTGTACATAGTCTTAGAAAGTCACCTTCAAATTTTAGAGATTTAAGATGTAGCAGTTGGTTCAGAGAAATTTGTTAACATCTGGATGCTTTACATAAATACAAGTTTCAAGTTTAATTTTTTTTACCTTTTTTTGCTTCATGTCTGCAATAAATATTTGGAAGAAAGCATAACTCTGCACCGATACTAATTAAAAACTTCCAGTGAAGCATGCATCAAACACTGCAGGTAAAGAAAATCTTCTGGTTTATTTGCTTTTCTTTAAGGAAGAGCACATATAACTGAATCCTGTAAATAAAATAAAATTATAAATTAAGATAAAATACCACCCTTTTTCTTTTTCTCTATAGCCTCATGCATTCCTTTCAAACATGAAAAAACTTCTGAAGGAAGGATGGCTGTGGTGAAAATCAATATTTTTCCTCTAGCTGAGCCTACTTCAGAGAAAAGTCAGATACTGCCTATGCCCTCTGCTTGCATCTAAAAATTTTAGGTTTCATTCCCTGTGGTAACTATCATAACTATACAGCTACTTCATACAGTATATATTGACTTTGTAAACTGTGGTTGTTCTCTGGTGCAGGGATCAGTATTCTGGACTGAGCATTCAAGTGTGGAAACAGGAAAAGTCTGACATGTTATTAGATGCGTCCTTACTCATGCTCTTTGTAAGATTTCCTACATATCCCTGGATAGAAAATCAATGGTTACGTATGAAGTATCTGTGGTTGCCTATTGGAAAGCAGCAGTATGCTTCCTGAATTTGTGAAAGAAGCTTGGCTTTCTTACTTAGCAATGGAGGACTGCAAAGGACACAAATGGAGTTGACATATAGTAAGCCTTAGCTTTGCCAGGTTTATTGTGAGAAGCACCAAAAGACACAATGAGCACAAAGTGAAGACCTACAGACAAGCAGTTCCCTGGTAACTGCAGCATAAAGATTTGCCTTTGAGCAGAGCAGAATCTACTGCTTCTGCAGAACAAGACAAAGGTAATGAGTTAATATAACTGAAGCTTAAAAAGAAGTGACTGCAGACAAGAATTAGGAGAAAGGGATTTATACATAAGAATTATTACTAAGTCTCAGAACTTAATATAAGCGACTTCTGGTATTTGCACTATTCTAAGTTTAAAAAAATCATTAAACAATATAATAATAATTTTTCAGGAGAATTTTATTTAGGAACAGGGCCTTGTATAATTATCAAATAAAAGATTATTTCCTGCTACAAAGAGCTTTCCCTCTAAGTGCAAGGCAAAAGCGTCAGACAAAAATATATTGCTAAGTGGTCAGTTGGTTATTTGTTTAAAGTTCCTAAACCAAACTGTGGTTTCAGCATCTGGGGGTTATGATATATCAGCACTGAGCTCACGTGTTTGTCACAGAGCTGGCAATTGCAGCTTTGCAAGACAAGGTCTACTCCTTCCCATTTCAGATGTGAAAACAAAGAAGAGTATATGCCCTTACAAGGTTGCAGTGTCTGGTTGAGGAATCATATCCTACTAAATATGATAGGCCAGATCCTGCCCCTGGTTATGTGCCTTTGTCAACCCACTGACAACATTAACTACAAAATAATATAAAGTGACACAGGGATTAAGCATTTTTGCAGCTTAGAAAGTAGTGAGCTCACCTAAGAACGTCCAGGCATTCTAGGCTTAAACTACTTACATCTTGCAGCTGCTAAATGTTCTTTCTGCAGAGTATACACATTACATAGCATGCAGGTGGCAGTCATATCCTATCACTATTGTATAAACAGTTTATTAAGCATACACGGTGTGACAGGGAAATGGAAGATAGCCAGGAATTTGATCTTACCTGGTGCTCTCTTGCTGCTGCTTCACGGTCTCTTGCCATGCTCAGAAGTCCTATGCTTTGTATTTGCTTCAGGCCTAGAGCGTCAAAGTGTATCAGTTCTTTTACAAAGCCACACAGCATCAGCATGACATGTGAAACTAGCCAGTTCTACAGCTCTTTACACTTCAAATGTTTTCATGATATTGAGCCTTACAAGAAAAATGTCAACCCAGCCTGATCTTTAAGCCTTTCACCATTGAATCAACACACGTGTGTCACAGATATTTAACAGTAACTGTAGAGATGGGTGAATGAGTTTGTGGAAAATCTTGACCCAACACGTGTTTGCCCCAAAAGCCCTCCCAACACTCTCTGAAGTTCCTGTCCCATCAGTGGAGATCTTGTTTCTTTATTACTCCTTGCTAATTTCCTGGTCATTGTGCTGTTTGCTGATGATGCAGCAAAGCCACATCCATCATCATAATCAAACCCTTTAGCTGAGTCTACACAGCTTAGTTATGAAACTTCACTAAAGTGGAGAGGCAAATACCTGCTGTAAGGAACAACCGTCGCTCTGTTGAAACAAGCAGGATGTTTCACATGCTGGAAGTGAAAAATATGCTTAAATACTCTGCCGAATTTTTCTTCTTATATAACAAGCCATTTTTTTTCACAGGAAGCAGATTAATTCTGAAAAGGAGGCAGGGCGAGAGGTCAGGTGTTTTGGGAAGTGCGGGTCATCAGTGTATTTGCTGTTTTACATTTCTCTACATTCTGTATTTTACTATCCCATGTCTCCCCTTTTCCACTTTTTTTTTCAGGTTTTCTTCCCTTTTATTCTCTGCTTTTTGTTCACACACCCTGTATCTGTAAGGACTTTGCTTCATAACTTTGTCTTGTATAGAATGAATTTAGCACTTATCCATTGTTTTGTGTTATTCTGCGTTAAATGTGTGTGTTCCACTGTCCAAGCAGAAGACCTGTGTGAATGCTGGTGAGCACCTTGTCCTCTGTGTCTGACAGGGTATAAAGCCTGTCACTCTTAATTGCCACCACAGACGACCTTTCAGCCCAAGTTTTGAAGTTCCATCAAGAGATATATGGTATTTTCCAAGCTATTTGCACGTGTTTTAACTGAAGACTGTGTGTATGTGTACGTAGCCATGGGTCATTACACAAAGTGAAACCACCAGCTTGTGTGTTGTGGGCCACCAAACAGTCACCAGCTGATAATGACTCTTGGTTTTTACTAACCAGGGTCAAATTCATGCCAGTGACCTAGAAGAAAAGGGCTCCATATCTCATTACTAACATTCTGAGCAGGCCTACGAACCACTGCATTTCGGTCTTTAGGTAAAAAACAAAATTAAAAAAAAAAAAAAAAAAAGATCAGGAAACTAAACCAGGTATTTCAGTAAAATACATGTGTGGTATATTACCACATTAAACGCCATCCAGAAAGCTCGAAATTCTTCCCCTCACAATCTGATAATGCATTCTTAGCATGCAGATACCTTCTTATTCAAAACAGCCAAAAAACTATCAACGAGATCCACAGGGATTAATATGATAGAGAAGCAGTTCCAGTCTGTAGAGGAATAACTGACATTTTAGAGAAATTCCTATACAGTTTTTTACTCGATACCCCTTAAGTTTTCTGAGCGAGTCACTCTGGTCTGCTCAGTAAATAATAAGATTCACAGAAGTCCCTCAAGTGCATTTTAACAGAAGAAAAGGCATTTCAAAATGCTCCTTAAGTCATACCAAGATAAAGTGTAAACTTTTAAAGAAATTTCTTTTTCCTAAATCCTAAGTCATTAATGAAGTGTGTTTGCAAATATCACAATAGGATCCCATTAGTCAAAAACTTAGGATTTTAAGTTCTTTCCCCCCATTTCATGTTTTTATGCAATGTTTGTGTTTTCAGTTTTGGTATTATAAGTAACTGTTGTAAAGTTTTAGGATATTCAGACAGAAAGGACTCAAATCTGCAGGATACCCTTAATGTGATACTGATCCAGCAAAAAAAAATTGCAAATACATGGTTCAATTGAGTTAAACTGCTGATTGCCAGAATACATTTTGGGATTTAGTTCTAACAGATCTAGGAATTTGAGGTCTTGAAAGCCTAACTAATTTAAATAAATGTATACACTCAGCTTTTTACTCTTCTTAAGATGATAAACAGTACAAAATCATTAAGTTCTTTCCCACGTTGTCTGTACTACCATATAAAACATTTCTAATGTAAATGTCCTAATGTTGTCAAGGCAGTCATTAAAGTAGAACTCATAGCCCAGGGAATTGCAGTTATGCCATTCTTGTATTTTTTTTAAATACTAAATCCTAAACTTGGGCTTAGTATGTAAGTACAGAAATTAATTTTTAATATTTTGTTATGCTATAGATTTGGATCATTTAGTTTGTGAAGAGCACATTATTCATCTCAGGCTTTTATATATATTCTCTCTGTAGCAGGCTATTAGCCACCTTCAATGCAAAAAATATGCTGAAATATTGTGCCCAAATTAGTTCATTTGCCTGAAAGGGAGTGGGAGGGGAACAGTGATAGTAAGAAAACTCTTTGTGTACGTTGTTCCAGGCATGATAGCAGCCTTGCCAAATCCAGGTGTTCAAAAACCAGAAGATGGTTCCCCAAAACACAAAATTGGATCCAACATCACAAGATTAATATCTGTTTGTTTTTCTTTTGATTTACTTTATGGCTTCTGAGATTTAATTTTTAAATGAAAGTGGAGATTCTTACCCAACCACAGAATTTTGGAAGCTGGGAGTTAAAGAAAAAAAATTGTACTGAAAACTTCATCTGCTCCTGCTTTTGCCCACCCTCTGTTGCTCAGCATCTAGACTGAAACTGTGAGGAAGAGACTCACAGGCCATTTCACCAGAGCTGCAGCACCTGGATTCCCCAGCACAGTGTGAACCTTTGGGCTGCCAGTTAATGCAGCATTTAGTCTGTTTTGTGTGTTGGGGAAGTGGTGCAAATGAAAATTAATGGCCCAGTGAGTTTGGTCCTGCACTGGAATCCAGTAGCAGTATCTCCTCCACTTCTCTGTTGCACTAAACAGAGGCACAGCTTCCTGCACTGAAAAACTTGGTGGTGATTTACAAACACTGCAAACCACTGGGAAAGGTGTCACTGGTGGTTGTGAAAGGGTTATCAACTTCAGTGAAGGTTTTTTTCTTCGTTTTTCAAGAGGATCTACTTGTGTAACACAGAATTGTAGCAGATAGATTTGTGGAGCTCATCTCAGAAATTAGTTACTATAAATGCCCACAGCATAACACAGGTTACCCAAATAAATCCAGTTGTTAGTACAAGAAGACATTTCTAGGGTGGCAACCTTTTATCTGCAGTAATATAAAACAGACCCCACCACAAACTGCAAGATTTTTCAGCAAAATTCAGGACATTCATCCCCAAAAAGTGTGAACACTTGGGTTATTCAGAGAGATTTCATTTGATCACTTCTGAGAAGGACAGTCTGTGAACTCTGAATCTAAATTTCACACATTTGAATGATTTTGCCTCTACATAAAGTAAGCTGAAGAGATAGATGCATGAAGTCTCAGAGACTTCATATGAGTCCAATAAATGCACCTTCAAGTTTGTGATCTGCCTGTGATTACCTCTTAAAAAAGAAAAAATGGAAATTGAATAATGATTTTTTTTTTCTTCTCAGAAGGAAAACAGGGGAACAGGCGCATCTGGTGATTGGGGAACAAAAAGAGCAAGACAGATTTCTGTTTGACATTTTTCTCTTATGTAATGCTGACTTTGCAAACAGCTTTATGATAACAGACTTAAAATATGTTTTTTATTTATAATCAGGCTAATCAATTACTGTGTAAAGTAAACAGGAGTCTACTACTTCTATAAATTAATTACCCCAAAAGTTTTCAATTTAAATGTAGTCAGCTGAATTTACCAGCAAGTCTTACCTGAGTTTTAAGCTAAGAGTATGAGTATGGAGTAAATTCTAGCATGGGACGTTAAGTTAGTGTGTTGATATTGAGAAGTTCAATGAGTATTTTCAAAACATTGTTTACAGAATATATATGGAAAAAAAAACCCAACAATGTTGTGAGTCAAGTTTGTAACCACTGTTAACTCCACTGGTTGCAGTGGATTTGTAGCAAGAATTCATAGGACGTTGTGTTTAAATGGATTGGACTGTTCCCTTTGGCATAGCAGAGGTCATTCCAAGATGGTGATCTTTTATGGAGCAAGTAGGTAGGAGCATTCAAACCTCAAATAAAATTCAGTTGTATATCCTGCCTTTTGGAAAGATAAATACATACCAGTTGAACAACCAGCACTTCATGGATGGTTCTCATTCAACAAAGAACTAAATGAAACAATTGACTTTATTACAGCTTCTTCAAAAATCCTTCCCAAACTGCAGCATAGGAGGATTCTGCTGCACATCTCCACAATGTCAAAACTCTCTCCCCAGGATGCTGGTATAATTAGCCTCAGAGACTCTCCTAGTTTCAAAGTTATTTCCATGATACAAAATGTGGAAGGAGAGGCAATGTGAATGTGCTGACACAAGCAGGTCTCCTTGACCCATTCCTGGGACAGCATTATTTACAGTGTTTAGGAAACTATCTGATCTCTGAATCTGTCTAGTTCAGTCTAGTGAGCACACACCTAATAGTGCACTAGCCCAGTCTAGTACTCAGAGAGCATTACTGTGTTTCTAACCTGATCATCCCAAGCTTATGCAACTGTGTTTTCTGTCTTTCCCACTAACTTTTGAACCTATTGGCCAATCTCAAACAAATTCGATAGAAGAGCAGTGATCCCAAAGATATCGAGTTCTACCCAGCTACATGAAAACTGATGACTAGATAGATGACTGGCCTCATTAAGAGAAAAACTGCAACGTGAACTGAAAAGTTCTGTTTTGTCTGGCTTACCAGCTGGACAATCAACACACAAGCAGCCACAGGACATGCTGCCTCTTGCCCAAGTAGTAATTAGGCACAGCAATGAGACCTCGGGATACTGTGTATGGACAGCAAGAGAGGACAAGAAAGCACAGGTGGAAGATTTGAGGTCCTGGATGGAAGAATCATAAGGCACATGAGAGGAGGCAGCTGATATTACTATCGTGGAGCCTTACAGAGACATAAGATTAAAAGACAAAAGTGTAGGTGTTGATTTATGACAACATTCTTCATCAGCAGGAAGGTGTGCAGTTGGTGGTTATCAATAATGTGCAACTCTTCCTTTTTGATTTTCAAGAGAAGAATGTTTATCTGAGAATCTGATCTAGGTTAGATGCTCAGTCAGAAGTCAGTGGCTCTATACTCAACTGCAGATTCTGTGGATTTCTTTGTTGGACATCACATACTCAGGTAACATCAGTTACCTTCTGGACTATACAGATGCTTGAAGCTAGAGTATATCACATATCAGAGTATATTAATAGATTTAAATTGGGACCACTTGGTGACCATGCAGTCATAATGCTCCATGATAATATATATGTAAATACTAAGAACCATAATAGCTTTTCAGTAGTATGTGACTATACTGACCTACTAAGGCATATGTTGTATAAACTAATTAGAAG